GCGGTGATGTAGCCCTCGATGCGTCGCACGATCAGGTCCACCATCTCCCGGTGCTTGGTGTCCTTACCGACGATGAGCAGGCACTGCGAGTCCATCACCTCCGCCACCACTTCCAACCCGGCCGCCTGGCGTGGGTTCAATAGCCGAGCAAGGTCGCCAAGAGGTGAGCTACGCAGGGGATTGCAGGCAGGAAAAGGAAGCGTGTGTTGAGCGTCGCCACCACAAAGGCAGAAAAAGCTTCAAAAACAGAAAGCAACAGAGATCGACGACATGGTTCGCCACCATTGCTTATCGCCTCACCAACCCAAACCCTTTGTTGGTGAACGACGGTACGAGTTTCAATGCCACACCACGCGTCGGACGAGATTCCACAAGCGCTCTGGATCGATCGACGATCAAAGGTTGATATCTTCGCGACAGCAGTGGGGAAATCGCGTAGGTCGACAAGGCGAGAAGGGCCAGGACGTTCATGTAGGGAGTCTTCCACAAATGCATCATTTCTCGATGTCGTGATACTCCCTCTCATGTCGAGGCCTTCGAGCACAGTCCCAGTGGGTAGCATACTTCACAGTTGGCACTGCGAGCGTGGAAAACCAACTGGCGGGTATTTCAGAAAGCGCTTGGGAACGTTGGGTTGTCCCCCACAAACCCGAGAGGGAGAGAGGGAGAGAGAGGTACAGAGACAGCCAGAGAGAAAGAGAGTCCGCATCCTCCACTTCGAAAACGGCCCCTGTTTTGCGCATAACATTGTTGTGATTGGAACACACCTTCATCGTGGTTCCAGTCTCCACCAGATCCACTACCGCGTCCGCCAATCCCAGCCCGCAAGCTGCCTCCACCGAACCGGACACATACTTGATCTCTAAACAAAGAAAACCGTTTGCAAAGGTTAATGGGAGGGGCGGTTCATGTGTTCACACGCCAGTTGGCACGAACTCTGTGCTTCCAGAAGACGACCCATTGTACCGCGGCCTCCTTTCAAAGTTGACGAAACAAACCATACCAGCAGGTACTTAATGTTTATATATTTCAGATGAATTCAAAAAAGAGGTTTCAAATACAGAAAATAGATGTAGTCTTGGAAGAACAAAAAAGTTCTCACTCGTGGGGTTATCCGGTGTATCGTACTGGTCGAAGAACGCCTTGCACACAGCCGGAAATGACGTCACGATGCGCTTCCCGGAGAGCGTCTTGACGTCTTTGATGCCGGCCGACACCGGAGCCTGCACGCACAGCCTACACTTTCCGAACCCCAGCTCCTGTTGCGGGGGGGGGGCGGGGGGCGCGACGGACAAACGCAGCGGTGTAATAGAGAGACACGGCAGTTGTTCTATCGGTGGGAGGGGGCGGAGGAAGTAGCAACCCCCAGCTTCCGGTTGCCAAACCAGAGACGAACAAACACAGCAGATGACGTCCTATGAAGACATTTAGGCCGGGGACGTGGAAGCAAAAAAATACAAACATACCCGTCGTGGTTTATTGCTGGAATTGAACAGGGCAGGTAGCACACGCCAGACCTCAAGTAACGATGCGATGCGATACACGCACCGACACAAACGAGTTTCAGCCATGATTGCTGGGCGGGGGAGGGTTAAGGACACCGATGGTCGGATACCAGAGACTTAATGCTTGAAGGCGGTCAACGCGTTTGTTGCACGTGCTGGGCTCCGGTTCTCCTGCCATGAATAGAAGCAGGGGTGACGTAAAGCGCTGCAACATCGCTGCGGTTTGTTCATGTTAAACACTCCGTATCTTGGTTTTCCTCATATCTTGGCGTGCGATAATTCTGTCCATGACTGCGTACTAGCATATCTCCCGCGCGGGCACCTACGACAACCGTCAACAGCATCCGGAAGTTGAAGTTGAATTTCTTCACACTCTGTCAAGCAAAATGTCGTGAGTTTGGCTGACGTATTGTGCCGGCAAGGAAACAAAAACGTACACCCAACACAGCGAGAGCTAAACAAAACAGTCCGGTCGTCTTCCCAAACTCGCTTGCCATAGCAACCTCCCGCTCACACGTCCCATATAACGCAAACACCGACAAGGACCCGGTGATTTCGCATCGCCGAAAAACAGGCAAAACTCCAACAAAAACTAACGCACAGAAGCAAAAGACAAATATTTCCAGTTTCTTTCGAGCTCCCTCACCATGGCAACCTCTATCTCGGAGTCGTCCGAGGTTTCCTTGACGACGTCCAGCCCGGTGATGCCAATGTCGACGTTCCCTTCCCCGACGAACATGGCGATGTCGTGCGCGGGCAGGAACACGAGGGTCACCGGGAGGTTGCTGCACTGGGCGATGTCCACGCGCTCGGGCTGACGTTTATAAGCAGCATCGCGTCGCACGTTTTTCGCCCATTTAGCAAGGAGGACGAGAGAACAGGAAATTTCTTGATCACGCAGGCTGGGTGCTGAGACGGGTGGCTTCTGGGGTGAAGATGAAGCACCAACTTCTCTGGAGGTACACGCTTACCGGTGCGTAGGGGTCTTGTGTGAGCTAGATCGCGTTTACTGAGGGGGTGGGACAATCGGCATGTATGGAACGGCTAAGGCAACAGAGAAAACAACGCCAACACAAGGGGAAAACCGAGGCCGTTCATCATCCCCCGAACCCGCCTGCGGGCGGCGCACGAATCGGCGTTATTCCCCCCCGCCGCCGCTTCAGAGTACTGCCAAAAGAAAACGGGCAGGAACCAACAAAGGCGTTTCGCGCGACGGCATAAAATCGAACAACACTGTTGCAACGTGAAAGGCGAACATGCCGCATGATTTAAATGCACCGATTTTCCCTTCGAGGCGGCGGCCCGTCCGACCCAACCATGGGGAAGGAAGTCAGTAACACTGCCGTGAGGTGAGTAAAAGGAGTCACCTCCTGGTTGAACCCACACCGAGAACCGCGATCCGCGGGAGCTCGTAGGGGAGTCGGGGGTTTGTGGTGGGAAGCGCGTCGTTGGAGCTCTTTGTCGGCGTCACGAAGAGCTGTTCCTACGCCACGCTCTTTCGCTTCGTCATTTCGTGAATGAGTCGGGACCGAACCGCTACGCTGAAGGGCAACGCGGTCACCCCCCCTAAAAAGACTAACACACACGCATAGGTTTCTTCTGTTATTGCCCACGGTATCTATTAATCCGGAGAGTAGAATAGCCTCCCCCATCACGCCCTCTCACGGGGTTCCAGATCATGGCCTTTGGGAGCGTTTAGTGTGTTCAACCGCACTGAGACTGACGTCTTCTCATTGGTCAGCCGGTTAGCGCGGTCGATGCTAAAAAAAAAGAAACTCACTCACACTCACCCTGCGGTGGTCCATACCCGCCCCCGCCAAAAGCTTCATGCAGCGTTCGTACAGCCTCCCCTTCTTGGGAACTGCCATCACGACGTTGTCGGCCGGGATCATGGAGTTGTTTCCTGGTACCGTCGCCATGGTCCACGCGACAATCGGCCCTTCGTCGCTCCTCGTGTCTTTTTTGAAGCTTGTTTCCCGGAGAAAAAGCGCCACACACAAGAAAGTGCGGAGTTACGAAACAGTAGTTAATACGTGACACGAGACAAACTTAGAATCGAGATGCAGTGGAGCACATGCCTCGGAGTGGTGGCGATCAACCAGCGGGCGAAACAGATAAATTACGGCGCATCCTCACAAGCACTCTGTGCTGTTGTCATACATACAGCATATTCCATCACAAACAGACATCACAAACCATTATTCATACCATGTGTAGTGCTGAAGTGCAGACCACGAATTGGAGTTGAGTAGTTCTAGCTTTTGCGACTGCAACGTCTCTAGTTGCCCAAGTATGTAGGAGTTCAGTCGTTGATGACTGCTGTTCGTTACTTGAGCGGTGTCGGCTAAGGCCAAGCTCAGAACATACAGAGACACACGGAGCGTTTATGCATAGAAGTACAGATAGTCGTATGCATACAACTGTACGGCTGTGGCTGCCCATACTTACATGCGCATAAGCGTGTGCATATGCATTGCATACGATAAACTACAGTAGGATTGCTACAAGTCCTACTCTATCTGCGGTATCCACATCCTGTACACTGCAATAGGGGAAGAACCTAGACAACAACGCAAGAATAAAACATTACGAATGCCTCCACCTCAACCGTCATCTGATACACACAGCGCGACACACGCTATAGCAGGTGGTCTGTGTCTACGAGTACAAAAACGTCGCTGAACTCAACTTCCAATCAAGCTATGCATAAAACGCATAACCGTTGCAGCAGCTACCCCGTGGGCGTGACTATGTACGCCAGTAGACTTTTTGTCGAAATGCCTCAGGTCCTCTTTCATCGCAATGTTGAGGAGGATCCGCATTACTAGCAGCACCAAGAGAGAGAGAGAGAGAGAGAGAGAGAACCCATATCGTCCTGCAAAAAAGAGATGGTACAACACTGCTGTGAGTCTCTGATCACACCCGGGAATATCAGTAAAATTTCAATTTGTGTAGCAGGTATGGGGTTGCGCGATGGACCTACGACAACAGCAGTCCGTTCTGTCAACCAGTTGCTTGACCTCTGACATGTCCTTCGTCCATCGCGAGTCCAGGATATGCGGCGGCAGCAAGAATAGTAGCTGTCACCAGTACGTGCAAGGAGGCAACCATGCAGCAGCTCGCGACAGCAGCCGCAGTGGCACCTGTGGCGTCAAAAGAGTTGGGTTATATGCGTGCGTTGCGCGCCTGGCACATGTTTGCTGTGTGCTTCATAACAGAACCGTTCAGCCGCATCTCCCCAACCTATCGCACCAGTCTTAAGCAGTGACCAACTCACCTGGAGAGGTGGGTAGATAGCACGCGGAGAAAAAAGAGCGTACCACCTGCTTGTGTGTGGGCCGTTGCAGTGTTGCTGGATCGCTGGCTGGCCTGGGGTGCTCTCTAAGGTGGCCCGCAGATTGGATGGCCGGGTCCGGTGGGGATGGTAACTCTTGCAGCAAAATGCACTTCGCGTGGACTCTGCCTGCCTCAAGTCTCAACTCCCGCGTGCGTCCAGCGACACAGACACGACTCCTACCCCGGCTGCACACAACCCACTGCGCCCAGGCCTTGCACCAAAACTCTTTCATAAGGTAGGTTGTCTGCTACTTTCTGGCTTATCCCTATTGGCGGTGTGTGTACGCCCGGACATACATCCAATTACCTTCTCCATTTGAAACCGTACCGCACAGCAGAAGCAGCAGCAGTCACCACAAAGCAGCTCGAAGCCGCAGAGCTTGCTGCCCGTTGTCAAGGCCGAGAGAAGCTTGTGTGTGACAACGTGCGGTGAAAGCAAATCGCTGCGTGTGCAGGAAACGTCAGTCTGCTAGAACCGTCTGTATCGGACCCAACCTTAAACGGAGGATATTGTTGGCGTAGAGAGCTAGCGTGTGCATCGCGACCTACATCAGCAGCACATCGATTGACGGCAGCAGCAGGCAGCAACCTACGCTTTCTACTTTGGCTTCCCTGCCATCGTATCTACCCCCATGTTTCGGTGGCACTCGGCCTCCGGCAAACACTCCTGGCCTCCTGTGTTTTGAAGAGTTTTTTTGCAGCGGCACCAGCGTATGACGGAAGATACCACACCCTACGGCAGCATTTCGGTCCTTGTGTTACGGCCGTCTCAACCATGATAGGGCACCCAGACTTCACACCCAGGCCAAGAGGTAGTCCGGTAAGATCCGCAGAACTTCCAGAGTAAAAGTGTGTCGGGCCTTCACCGCTTCTTCCAAAACCAGACGCAGAGTTGAGTGTGCTGCACGGCAACGCGGCGTGCGACTGCGAAGACTCTCCCTCGTGCTGTGTGGCAACGCGGCGAGAGCGCAACTGGTTTAGGTCGTGCAGTCTCGAGTAGACCATGTTTTAGGATTTCTGGATTTGCGGTTCGCTATTGAGGAATGGTCTTTTCGACCCAGGGTTCAGCTATTGCTGAAACTTGAGATGAAAAAATATATCAATGGCCTTTGTCACCATCTCACCCGATCAAACCGGGACTTGTGTGGATCTTTCCGCTTGACTCTTTGTCTAGGTGCGAAGTCTGGGTGCACGTTTCCAGCCAAGACCCGGCCTATCCCGCTGCAGGTTGTACTGATCTCTGCAGTACCCTCTTCGTTTTGCAAATCTGGACGACGGTGCTCGTCGAACGGGCTCAACAGCCAAACCACTGCAGAAGAGAAAAGTCCGAAAACAGCACACCACGCAAAATCCATAGGGACCGTGACATCGTTTCACTCTATCTTCCTTCGACCATGCCAAACAACAGCCTTTCACGGACGGTATGGAGACACATTGGTTCCTAGCTTGTAAGAGACGACGGGAGAGGAGGCTGGAACGCCAAGAGAGCGACATCGAGATTGCAGCAGCTACAGCTACTCTCTCCCGTTTTCTGACGTCTTCCCTATCCTCATTCGCAGCAGGCCGCGAGCAGCGTAAGGCTCAAAGACTCGAACAAGAATACACTCCACCCGCAACAGCTAGAGCTGCAACCGCCTGTTCTACGGCGGCGGTGGGTCTATTTACTCAGGACAGTTTCATGGCAGAATTTGGGGCTGACGTACCGGATGAGGGGAAAGGACCACCGCCGGCGACAGCAGCAAGCGGGGGCGGGGGCAGGGAGGAGGATTCGTACCCCCTTACCGTCATTTATTGCGGAGGTGGGTTCGACGCTGAGGCTATCGGTGTAACTTTTCTCTTCCTATCTTGACGTGCAAAACGCTCTGACCTCTACTGGCTTTATGTATCCCGTGCGTTTTCTTCCCTATTCTTACAAGGCAAGGAACGAGTTTTCGTGGTCAAAAGCTTTCCCAAGTCAGCAAGGGGCACGCCAAAGAAATCGAAAGACTCAACGCAAGTCCGTCTCAATCGCCGCTAAAAAACAAGGTCTAAATCTCACCTCTGGATAGGCCTCCCGACGTCGTGCGAGCAGACTTACCATGTTTTCATCAACGATGTCACGTCCAAACCTTACTTTGTGGTACAACACCGGTTTTCCGCTCTAGATGCAGGCCTTTTCCATGCTCCTTTGCGGCGAAACAGTTGCACGAGCGCAAATTCGGACAGCTGGAATGAGCGTCAACATCATACATGAACCAGGGTCAACAATATGCACAAACGGAGCTCATATCCCGAAGCTTGGAGCTGTCCCTCGCGTTTTGGGTACAAAACAACTGCGTGTATGTCCCTCGGCGTGCAAACGATGGTGAAGCTAGCCTACTAGACGGCTTTCTGTGTGTGTTGTTTCTATGAGGTGGATTTTTCTGGGGCACGTACCAAAATATACGTGAAGGGGGTGATGACGAACCCCGGTACTCAGTTTCCTTTCTATCTAACACAATAGGAAGCCACAAAGCGAAAATGACCTGCCGCCTCAGAGAGTGTTCATGTTCGATGGGCAGTCAGTAGATGACGTCATGGAGCAGCGACCAGCGTGTTGGTATGCACAACCTGTCACAACCACACCGCCCACACACCCGCAACCGAAACTCGCCCACGCAACCTGCGAGTAAAAACTTCTGCAACATATCCGTACATTGCAACAGTTTGTGGGCTACCTCCCGAGTACTGCGAGTACGGCTCTACCGGGGAAGCCTGCAGAGCGTGGGCGGAGGCGAACTGTCCAGAGGTGTTGGCCATCGAAGAGGGGATAGCGGGACTTGAGGTGTGGCACGTTTTCTTTTATTTATTTTGTGTTGTTTCTTCTTGGACAGCCTGCCTTGTGCATTGTGCTGTCAGTGTTAATGTCGGAAAGGAGCCGGCCAAAACTGAGTTACAACCTAAACCTTCGAAACCTGCGCCGTACTTGTGTGGTAGTGTTTTTTGTTGTTGCCCTCGATGTGTTTGCGAAGGGGCTGGTGTCGTCGCTCTCCGTATCCTTGTTGCTGCGTCCAAGAGGGGCAAAATTTTTACCGCAGCCAGGGATCACCCGAAACACAAGGGAGGGGGCCACGGTTACGCATTCCTGGATTTCCAGCAGCAGCACGTACAAAGCTCGCTTGCTTCCCGCCCCGGTTACGTTGCCTGGCAGGCAAAAAGAAACAAACACGGGCTCGTAATTGGGTTTGTCCGCGAAGAACCCCACGACACAACAGGGCACATATACCTCGAAACCTTTACCATGTTCCTCTGACATGCACCATCGTTCGTCTCGCGTCCTTGTTGCCCCTCCCATCTTGGTCGGCTTTGCTGTTGTTGGTGCTGGTGTCGCTGCCGTTGTATTTTGCCGCTGTCGTTGCTGTTGCGTTTGTTCGTTGACTAAGCAGGTTCAAGGAGATGAAGGGGGGGAGGCGGCGGGGGGGGCGCAGAGGGCTGCGGGGGGAGAGGAAGAGCCAAAGAAGAAGGGCAAGAAGGTGAGAGTGTTGGTGCTGCTTAGGGATTTGCTTCTTGCGCGCACTGTTGTGTTTGTCGTGTGTAACCTGAGGAGGAAACTAAAACCCCGTCGTCGAGAATGACGCAAGGTGTTTATCTCAAGCCTGGACCACCAGCCTATTGCCCTACCTGCCTTCGGCTCCTTGTGTATTCATACCGACACAACTCCACCTAGACCCTTACATACTTGTCATGATCGTGTTTGGCTCCCGCGTTATTTGTCCTGGCCAGTCTCGCCTCTCTCCTTCAGTGGTGTTGCTGAAGAGCTGGGGTACTTCAAACGATTTCCTCTCGCTGAGCCGCTCCTCATCTACGAGCCCGTCCTTCTGCGATGTTCATTTCTTGTGTGTCACCCCCTGATGGTGTCGCAGGTAAGGATAGCAAAACCTGGCGGCAAGAAGGCGGCCGGAGGGGAGCAACGAGTCGTCATCGGGCGCCTATCCCGAAACCGCCGCAAGTTTGTAACCGTCGTTGGGGGTCTCGACACCTTCCCAGGTGGGTGGATCCTGGCTGCGTTTTCTTTTGCATTCGAAATCTGTTGGAAAACCTAATGGATCAAGTACTCAAGCTTCGTTTCTGTTACAGTGGCGGGCCCTATATAGTGCGGGTATGTGCCAAGCGCTTTCACCCGCACTATAGCGGGCACCCGCACTGTTACAGAGTACTTGCACTTTGTGCTGCCGCCAAGCTGTTGTTTTGTACAATGGTGTACACGTCGTGGATAGTGGAAATGACCGGTACTGGACCGGGTTGTCCGTAGCAGGTTGTGGGTTCGATTCCCTCGCTGGGGGTTTCTTTCCCCATAGTTTGTAGTGGAACACGACTTAAATTCGTGGGTTCGCACTTCGATTTCATGGTCGACAAGGGAAAGGGACGGCTGAACCCTTCTCGCGACAAAGTTAAGGCAAGCACCGCGGGAGGAAAGGTTACGGTGTGACCTTCCTCCTGTGCGACCCCGGCTGAAATGTCAACATATACACCGAGAGGTGTACGCACTGTCGCAACGCTCTTGAGACTGTCTCCTCGTGTTTTTTTCCACAACTGTACCAGACAATGCATTAGTCTTGTTTCTGATTTATGCTGGCGAGAGTCGTTAACATATTGCACCAATAGGTGCTTTATCGTTAGACCGTCTAGTTGCAGACGATGATGTGCGTACTTTACTGCCGTAGTTGTGGTGTGGTCAATGGTTTTTCTACCCTACCTGCGCGAGGTTCGGGGCCACATCAAGGATTTGCAGTCTAGTTTATACGTGCAGTACACGGATCCACGGGGATGGATGTGGACATATCCGATGCGCTCTCTTCTAACTGGGATGTGAAGCGGTTGCTTGCGAGTGTTGTCAATCAGATCTCCTTGTGTGCGAAATGCGCGGCGCGCGATGCACGAGCAAGCGCAAGAGCGAGATCTTAGGTTGAAGCGTCAAATGCCTTTGCGCCATTCATATTTGAAGCCACAATCATTCGCATACATGTGGCCGCCGTGCTCTGTTTGGTGCGGTCCGACACAACCCCAGACGTCAAGATCAAAGACGCGGCAAAAAAGATCGGCAAGCAGTTCGCGTGTGGATCCTCCGTGAGCAAGGCACCCTCCGGGGCGGAGGAGGTGGTGATCCAGGGGGACGTGCTCATGGACTTGCCTGGCTTCCTCGAGACCACTCTCAACGTGAGAAGCGTTTGTTGTTTTGTTTGCGTAGTTCTATTTTGTTATCGTCCGTCGCCAAGTACCGATACCGTCCTTCTTCAGCTCCTATGCGGTGGTCGTTGAGTACTTGGTAGGAGTTCAGAAACGAGCTTGCATGGAGTTTTCGAGCCCGCGTTGAACGCGTATCCTGTTGTGTTCGTACAAGTACAACGTTGCTATCCGTTTCGGTGCAACTTGTGCGGAAGTTCTCTCTCTAGTTGATCAGTCGATAGTTTTTGTTCTTGACCGGGTTTCTGCTGCTTTCTCGCGTTGTGCCTGTCATCAGGTTGTCTTACTCACCGATACGCCAAGCAAGCCGAATTAATTCTGCTGTTGTTGCTGTTGTTGTTGACTTCACATTAAACCGTATGCCAGTTGCTAAATGCCAAAATCTAGCAAAGACTCTCGGCCCGTGGTCACGAAAGTGCTGGAGCCATCTGAGGATCTAAAGAACACGCACACGTAGCAAGAAAAAGGTGTACAAGAGCCCGAAGAGGTACTACTACACCTATATATAATCCCTGCAGCACCGTACGCGTGCCCAAAACTGAACTACTGTGCAGGTCCTGATTATCCTCGCGGGATTGAAGACGGTTTAAAAGAGCCCTGCGCAACTTTCGTAGCCTCTCCATCAGCTGAACCCGTTTTTTTCGTTCGCCATATTCTGTCATCGTCTCTCTCCTCCCTTTGTACCCTTTCAGATCCCAGCGGCCAAGATCAGCGTCCTCTCGACATCATAGTTCAGGAGAAATACCCGCCGTTTCCCGCACGTACGGGCATGTGCTTGCTTGGTTGTACAAGTGTCTGCGCCTGCCAGGGAAGTCGAGAAATAGTTGGTAGTGTAGGAAGCCGTGAAATGTGGCCGCTTCTAGCCATCTATCCCGTTGCAAATTTTTCACTAGGCGTCGGCCGCGCCACACAAATGTCCATGGATCTGTGTCCCTGTATTAGTACGGGTCTCTGTTGTAGTGTCGTGCAGATCCCTACAGAGTCTTGCGTTTCAACCAGGCATTCAGTGTGCGTTCACGGTCAGCTCCTACTCATGAATCGGTTGACCTGCGAAGTCTGCAATCGATCGCCCGAGGTTTTGCAACCATTGAACTCTTGTTTAGACTCACTCGTCAAACGCGTACAACGGTGTGAACTGGCTTCTTCTACGCGACGTGCGGGTGCGTGGAACTGTAAGCTACCAAGTGGCTCATCCTGCTGCTCTGCTGCTGGCGTGCTCAGCCGGCGACCTGACAAATGAACAGTGGCCCTTGAGATCGCAGTATGCGCAAACAAGTACAAACTCATTTACAGACGGTGTCGACCTGGTGAGGTGAAACCGTTCTACTGGGGAGGGGGGGGGTGTACTCATAGTCGTGCATGCCGTAGTCGTTACACCACTGACCTCGCATCCCTACAAAGCCGGGACGGAGCACGCCGGGTTC